TTTGAGACAGGGTCTCACCATGTAGTCCAGGCTGGCCTCGAACTTGGAGTGCTCCCTCTGTTTCAGCCTCCCAAGTGTTAGGGTTATAGGTGTGCACAACCACGCATAGCTGGGTTATATAGTATTATCTAAGGCAAGCACTAAGGAGAAAATAGTGATAGCCAACAAGCATTGAGATAAAATGGGATAATAAAGATATTCAATTACTCTAAAAGAAGTCACGAAAAGAAAAAAGGGAACAAAGAATAAATGAGATGAATGAAAATAAATAGCAAGATGACTTTTTTCTGTTTCGTTTTGTGGTATTGCAGTCTGAACTCAGGGCTCTGGCTGAGCTACATCCCCAGGCTCCTTTTTTATTTTTCAGTTTGAGACAGGGTCTTGCTAAGTTGCTAAACTGCCAGGCTGGGCTCGCACTTTCTTTTTTTGGGGTACTGGGAATGGAACTGTGCTTGCCAGGCTCGTGCAGTGCCACTGAGCTAAATCCCCCGCCCTGGGCTTGCACTTTTAATCCTCCTGCCTCAGCCTCCGGAGTGCTGGGATCACAGGTGTGCATCACCACACCAGGATGAAGGCACAGATATTTTAGATACAACATGAAAAACACAATCCATAAGGAATGAAACGATGGACGGCCCTTCATAAAAACATCTCTTCAAAAAAACATTCTTTCTTTAGGGTCTCACTATGTAGTATAGCCTGGCCTTGAACTCACTATGTAGCCCAGGTTGGCCTAGACCCCTTAGTGATCCTACTACCTCAGAGTGCTGGGATTACAAGTGTGTGCTACCATGCTTGGCAAAAAAAAAAAAAAAAAGAGAGAGATGGAAAGACAAGCCATAAAGTGGGAGAAAATGTCTGCAAATCACATATCTGATGAAGGACTTGAATCTAGAACATATAAATAATGCTTAAAACTCAATTATAAGAGGACATTTTGATAAAATGAACAAAATTGTGAATATATACTTCCCTAGAGAAGATAAGTGAAGGGCAAAGAACCGCAAATGAAAAGCCTCAGTATCATTAGTCGTTAGGGGAATGTAAATTAAGAACCATAGAGCGATGCTACTTTACATCTATTAGAATGGATGAAATGAAAAGGACTGGCCATATCAAGGCAAAGAAGTAGAGGCACTGTAACTTTCATACACTATGGGTAGAAATGTGAAATGGTGCTAACAATTTGGAAAACAATTTGGCAATTTCTTAACCTGTTAAATAGACATCTACCATAAGATGTAGCTATTCCAATTCTCAATATTTACCCAAGAGAAAGCAAAGCACATGTTCATACAAAGGCTCAATCATGGATATCTACATCAGCTTTGTTTGGCTAGAAATGGCCCAAATGTCCATCAACAAGTGAATATATAAACTGTGGTACATTTAGACACTAGAATACTACTCAGCAATGGAAGGAAATGAATCAATTCTGAAATAATTATTCATAATATAGATTAAAAAAAAGAGTACATATATAAAGTATGTTATAGTTAGATCTAAAATGTCCCCCCAAAGCCTCATATATCCAGAGATTGGAAACTTGAAAGGGGACTGGATCCTAGGAGTGGGAGTCTGGCTGGAGGAGGATACCAGTGGGGCAGAACCTAATAGGGTGTACTCTTCTCTCTGCTTTTTGGCTGCTCTGGGGTGAACCACTGTCTCCTGCCATGCTCTTCTGTCATGGTAGTTCTGCTTTGGAGCCAGCTAACCATGGACTGAACCCTCTTGGAACTGTGAAACAACTGTGGGTATGGACTACTGCATCTCAGAGACAGGAAAGTGATTAATACACAGAATAATTGTTGTTATACAAAAGTCGAGGAAATGCAAAATAACAGAAAGCAAATCAGTGGTCACTTGGGAGCTGGAAGGGGGAGGGTCAGAAGGAAGAGATTCCAAATGGACATAGGAAACCTTTGGGGAAATGTACGTATTCATTATGTTTACTTTGGTGATAAGTTCATGGCTATATACATGTGTCCAGTTATATTGGATACTTTAAATATATACAGTTTAGTGTATATCAATTATATCTCAAAAATCTGCTAAAAAAGGAAGTATTTCTTCATTTTGAGTAGTACTTAGCATTTTCATTTTGGCAATTCATTTATACATAATCTCTGCCATAATCCAAATAGCAGTAGTAATTCTAGCATTAGTTATGAGTTGTATCTGTGTTATGTCTTATTATGTCCAAGTTTATTTAAATATTCAACTTGTTTCAAAGCATAGATCCTGTGACAATTTTAATCTCAATTTTTTTAACCATCTATCATAGTCTGTTAACAGCAATATAATACTATAATCTTTCGACTAGTTTATGTAGTTATTTTCAATTATAGCAATAAAATTTTTGAGGCAGAAAAAAGTAAAATCCACGGCATATTCCAAATTAAATTTTGCATTTTCAATCTTTTTTTTCCCCCAGTACTGGAGTTCAAACTCAGGACCTTGTGCTGCTGAGCTAAATCCCTGGCCCTTGCATTTTCAATCTTAAGGGAAAACTTATGTACTATAATTAGCATAAATTCTTTAATATACAGTTAATGGTTCTCCAAACATCTAATGACACATTTTCCTTTTTTTTTGAGACAGGGTCTTGGTCTGTAGTCCAGGTTGACCTTGAACTCACTATGTATCCCAGGCTGGTCTTGAACTCATGGCAACCCTCCTGCCTCAGCTTCCTGAGTACTGGGATTACAGACATGCACCATCACACTTGGCTGACACATTTTCAAACTTGTACAAAACTGCATAATGAACTTATATATAAACACATCTAGCTTCAAATATTAGCAATATTTTGTGATTCCCAGGGCCTTTGCACTGAGCTATATCCCCAACCTATTTCAATTTTGTTTATTTCAAGAAAAGATCTTGCTAAGATAGTAAGTTGCCCGGGCTGGGTTTGAACTTGTGATCTTACTGTTTCAGCCTCTCAAAGTGCTGGGATTACAGGTGTGCGACACCAAACCTTGCTCCATGGAATATGAAAAGGCAAATTCCAGCCATCATACTATTTCACATCAGAAATATTTCAGTATTTAAGGTCCAAATATTTTGGTATTTAATTTCCTTAATATAACTCACAGCTTATTTTTAAATTGTTTCATATAAAGTTACTTAATTACAAGTACTCTTAATTTCTTATTTTTTCCCTAACAATTTACATAAGAGTATATGCACATTCAGAAATTCTTATTTCAATTGGCTAAAGAGCTCAGGGAGGTAGGTAATTTTTTGAAAAAAGTAATATAAAGATGTATACATATGTAAGTGTATATTTTAATATTTTATTTTATAAAAGTATTTTGATAGATTATTATAAAATTAAAACCAACATGAGAGGTCTATAATATATGCGCAAGCAAAAGTTTATTTAGAGGAAATTTTTTTGGGGGGTGACAAGGTCTTGTTATGATGCCCAGGCTGGGCTTGAACTCATGACCCTCCAGCCTCAGCTTCCCAGGGGGTTAGGATTACCAGCTATTGTACCTGGCCAAAGGTTCATCTGCTTCTGTTCTTATTCATTTATCTTTCTATGCTTCTACCCAGTGGTGTGCTGGAGTCAGCTCAGACTAGCTTGTGAGACCTAATTAGGAAATTTTCTTTGTTGTTTTTTGTTTTTTTTATTGAGACAAGGCCTTGCTCTGTAATTTAGGCTGCCTTTGACTATGGTGATCCTCCTGCCTCAGCCTCCCAAGTACTGGGATTACAGGTGTGCACTACTACACCTGGCTAACTGGTAAGTTTTTAGTAATATTGTGAGTTGGCTGCTAAATGCAACCATACTGAAAAATTAAAATACATTTATAATAAAATTAGTTTTATTAAAAACAAAGGAATGGAGCAGGGCAAGGTGGCACATGTTTGTAATCCCAGCACTCAGGAGGCTGACGCAGGAGGATCGCTGCTAGTTTGAGGACATGGGCTACATAGTGAGTTCAGGGCCAGCCTGAACTACAAAGGGAGGTGCTGCCTCAACTCCACCCCACAAAAAAAAAAACCCAAGGGAATAAATCCTCAAAAACTCATCAATGTTGAATTATTTTATTATATCCTAAAGATATGCTTGAGTTCAGAGTTTACAAATGCCTACTTTATGTACATGGCACAAACATTATGTAACTGTATGCTGCTGACAATTTTTGCTCTTATCCATATTCAGTAACATTATGCCGGTAGCTTGTATCACTCGCATACCATGGATACAAGCAAATGCTACAGATGAGAGTCCTCCCTAACAGGTCTTTAGGAAAGCTGACTGTTCCCATGTGTTAGTACCCCACTGTATCCACTCTGAGTACTAATTATTGTGCCAGGCACTGCAGTAATATAAAATACTTGTTTCTTAAAAAAACTTAGGATAGAGAGCCTCTTAATGTCATAAATATTAAAAATGCTTTAATAGAAAATACTATAAAGATAAATATGAACAGGTCCTTAGGAAAACAAAGACTATATGGTATATATTAATAATATACCTTTTTAAATCCCTTGAAGATAAATAGCTTTAAAAAATTTTTAAATATTAACAGAAAAATTTATTATGTTGAAGGTCAGAAAATATCTTTAAATAATATAACTTAAGGGTAAGAAAAAAAGCAAATATGAACCTGATTTTCTAAGTGAAAATTACAGTGTTTAATAAGCAATTTTCCACCAAACAGAAATAAAAAGTAAATCTACTTAAAAAGTGAGGTATCAGTGAAAAACTCACCAAAATTCGCCAAACTTGTTTTGCCACTTGATATTCTCAAAAATCAAAGCTTTGTCTACCTAGCTTGCATTTACACTTAGTCTGGGCATTTAATCTCCCTTTTGTTCTTTTTCCATACACTGTAAGTTGTTTTATAGCTAGTTTCAAAAACTGTGAAATCATTTTGTACTTGGAAACAGATTTTTAAAAAACTGCTCATAAAATAAGGAGTTACAAAGAATTAAAATGAACACTGTGTTTGTTTATATGTCTTTCTTCTGTTTCAGTTATTTACCTCTTGTGAAAGCTGTGTTACTTGGTCCTTTCGATGTTCCAGATCTTTTAAAATCAATGAGTTTTGTTTTTGTAACTGAAGCACTCTTCTTGCCAAGTGGACACTAAGTGAATAAAATGAGAAAATTAATGCTTACAAAAGTGGAATGCTATCTAAAATACTCGAAGAGTGTTTGTGCTAGAAAACTGACATTTCCCAATAATACTTAAATATTAAGTGAAAAAAGATGGAACCAAATAATTAATAGCAGGAGACCAATAACACAACTCAGAATTCTGAAAGCAACATTAAAATCTCCATAACATAACTGTGATGTACTGATTACTAGGCTAATGTTTTCCAGCCCTTGCTATAAAGTGGAGAGCTACATTATAATACTTGCTTGAAAAGACCACAACACAGCAATTTACAGCTTTTCTCCATTTTTGTAAAAAATTTCTCAATTACCAACAAATCAAGAAATTATTTAAAATAGTATGAACAATAATAAGACTGAACTTTGACAAGCATCAGCGTTCACCTCACACACCATAATGCATTTTATAATGCAAAATACAGCTGAATAGATTTTCTATTGAAAGTGGAGATGGAGAAGACTTGAAACTTGGAGAATGTCTACTCTACAGGCAAAGATCCTGTACAAAGGGAAATCATCCCTCTGATGATTTGTATTACCACACTTTTTGTACCGACCTTCAGTGTTTAAAAATCACATTAAATATGAAATGCTCCAATTCCAATTTTAAGACACAGTTTGAAAAAATGTTTGTTTAGATCTAATATTTTATCCTTTCAACTGACATAACATTGTGCCTTAATAATCAGATGAAGTTGGAAAGTTAGAAATGGAAAAAGACCTTGATTTCCTGCTTTTTGATAAATACTTTTCTTCTTTTTTAAAAAAATTTTGAGACAGGTTCTTGCTCTGTAATTCAGGCTGGCCTTCATCTCATGGCAATCCTCCTGCCTCAGCCCTCTCAAGTACTGGGATTAACAGGCGTGGACTACCACAACTGCAACAACCATTCTTTTTTTTTTTTTTGGTACCCGGGATCAAACTCAGGACCTTGCGCTTGCAAGGCAGGCACGGTGCCACTGAGCTAAATCCCTGGCCCTAACAATCATTCCTTTTTAAAAGCAGCTTTATTGATATATAATTTTATTGATATGCAACTAAAATCCAATAAAGCCTTCCCATTTAAAGCATACAATTCAACAGTGCTTAGTACATTTACAGTTGTGGAACTATCACTATAATAAAATTTTAGAACATTTTCATTAACCCCCAAAGAAATTTTCTGCCCTTTAATCATTACTCTCCATTCTCCCCCACATCCCTTAAAAGTCTTCTGATCCCCATGCCCACTGGCTTTAGGGAACCACTAAACTACTTTCTTTCTTTATAGATTTTTAAAGCATTTATAGTTTTTAAGCATTTACATGGGTATCTTGCTTTTTTATTCCTCATTGTAAATATACCAAGGTCTCTGTAATTTGATGAACTAAATATCAAAATCTCTACAAACAAAATAAATCTTAATGTTAATTTTGCATTATGTTTTTCATTTAAAATCTGTTGATTCTAGTAAATGTTTGCAAAGATTGTTATTTTTAATCAGTAGCTCTGTTTTTCATTAGGTTCATTAAAAGTTTTGAAGGTATCTTCAGCCACATTTTCATTCTCATTCTCACCCTGCATATAAGGCAAGTGTAAACTTTTTTCATATTTTTGTCTCCTACAGAACTTAGCATTAGTCTTTTGTATACAGTAATTTCTCAAAAAGCATCTGTTGAAGGTATAGACTATTATTTGTGTAATATTCAATACAGAACAATGAACACAATCAAATGCAACTACACAGAATAGTTATGGATGAGATTGAAATTTTATGCAAATAAAAAGTTGTATTTTTTACAAAGAGATGCAAGAAATGATGAGATACAAAGGTCACCCATTATCAACATCATAAAGATAATGAAGACATCAAGCTTAGGAATGATAAACTGCTTTTTTTTTAGTAATCATACACCTTTAATCCTAGCATCATACACTTATAATCCTAGTATCACACATTGTTAAACTACTTATTTGTTTTGATTGTTTTTAAATTTTGTTTGGGAACTGCATGGTACTTCTATGTAGATATGGCAATACCACTTACCAGTGAAAAATATCACATGACATAAAACTCTGATTCAAGAAATTCTTTTATGCTAGTGCTTAAACCTTAAAACCAGGACTACTTTCTTACAAGAATTCAAGAATTTCCCTGATTTTGTTTAAGAAATTTTGAGTGAGCGCTGGGGATTTAGCTCAGTGGTTCTGCCACCTGCTTCACAAACACAAGGTCCCAAGTTTGATCCCCCACACCAAAAAAACAGAAATTCTGAGTGAGGAAAGTCAACTCAAAGTAGAAAGATATCTTATGATGACTTTTTTTTTTTTTAAAAGACAAGGTCTTGCTAAGAATTTGTTATTTAGGCCTGGGTGGCCTCAAACTTGCAATTCTTTGCCTCAGCCACTTGAGTGCTGGTATTACTATTGTGCGCCATCACACCTGGCTTCTTACTATGTCTTAAAATTGCTCGTAAGTGTGTTCTACACTGTTCTGATTACTAGCTTATAGTATAATTTTATTGAGAAGACATTTCTAGAAACATGCTGAAAGAAGGGATGTGACTATTATGTCATTTATGATACATGGATGACACTGGTAACATTGGTCTCCAATACAAATGAACCTTGTTTTAAAAGTTCACTTCTACAGATAGCAGAATGTATTTCCTTATAGATGTATCAAAAAATGGTATAAAGTTTTCCAGGTTGCCTTAAAAGACCCATTTAGCCTGTTAATGCAGCACCACTTACAATCAGAAAAAAGAACAAGAATAAAAAAGTGGGGCCAGGGATTTAGCTCAGTGGTACCACCACCTGCCTCGAAAGTGCAAGGTCCCGAGTTTGATCCCCAGTACCAACCCCCCCCCCCGCAAAAAAAAAACAACAAACAGTGAAATCTTGCTGGGGATGTAGCTCAGTGGTGCAGTGCCTGCCTGGCATGCGCAAGGTCCTGAGTTCGACTTCCAGTACCAAATAAAAAAGAAAAGAAAAAACAGCGAAACCTTTACTTAGAAGTTTTTGAGAAACATAAAGCAGAGAGCACACCAAAAGCACAAGAAAAATAATGGTTTTTCTCATTATAATATTTGTAAAATAAAAATCTGCAATATTTTGATCATGAATATGAATACAGAAAAACAGGCTGAATGAAAAGAAACTTTCTCTAATTCATTCAAAAAGATACTTGTGAACCTATTGTTTTAATAAACATTTATTAAAAATCAGTACTGTGCATAGATACTGAAAATCTATAATTTCTATCTTTCTTTTTTTTTTTTTTGGTACTAGGGATCGAACTTGGGACTTTACACTTGCGAGGCAGGCGCCGGAACCACTAAGCTAAATCCCCGGCCCAAATCTATAATTTCTATTTGGAGGATCTAATAGTTTACCAAGGAAGATATTTTAAGTAGTAAGACTGAACACACATGGTGCCAGTGAAGTTGAAGCTAGAGACAGATAGGGAAGGATAGCTGAGGAAAGGCCTCCTGTGTCGAGCTGAGTTTGATTTTTATCCTGAAGTGTGGATCAGATCCGTGCTCTGTCAGTAGCACACAGGACTGTTTACGGAAGGAAGGCGATGAGCGCTAAGCAGAAGCTTATGTCCCAGCCTAGACCAGTGGTCTCCAAAAGCAGTTATGTGCAAACTAACTGCTGAAGTATGGGAACTTTTATTTATATTTATTGTAATGTGATATATCTTTACTTTTTCATTTCCTGTGTAGGATTTATATCATTATTCATATAATGTATTAATCAGCTTTCCTCTGCTGTGTTGCACTGTGAGGCTCCTGCCCTGCAGCCAGTCAAACATGAACTGAAATCTCTGAAACCATGAGCTAGAATAAATGTTTCCTCCTTTAAGTTCTGAATGCCAGGTATTTTGTCCCAGTGATGGAAAACTGACTAATACGAACCAGAATGAGAGATCTCCAAGGACTGGAAATTTTCATTTTAGTCTGTGATGTATCCTAAGTGCCTTCCATGATGCCTGGTGCAAGAGGTGTTCAGTGATTAACTACTGAGTGATTTAACTTTATATAAGATCTCCTATTTCTTCATAGTCTAACCAACACTAGACATCAACATTTTTTAAAAGCTTTGCTAATCATACAGATAAACAATAGAGTTCGGTTTTAAAGGTCTTTATATATGATTAAAACCTCATGCTTGTCAGACATTAGTATTTCTTAATACATTGATATTTATGTCTTTTCCCCACCTTCTTTAAACTTTACCTATATGTAAACTATTTAAAAGTATCAAAGTCCTCTACTATCTTTCCAGAACTAACTCAATTCTCCATTAATGTCTGTCCCGCAAACACGTTTTGTATGTTCCTCCACTCTGCTGGTCTTCCAGGCTGAACATCCGTTCTTTCTTGACTTGGAGCCCAACTTTTTCTAATGATGCCTTTCAAGTTCCACTTCCTCTGACTGTGGCAACCTTTATGCCTCTCTTTTTCTGACTAAGATGTCCTAGCACACACTACAGCACTTATTTACATATTTTGGGAATATTTCTTGATTTTCTTTCATATGTGTTCATCTTTTTTCCCTTTCAGATAGGGCCCATGTAATGGAAAGAGTCTTAACTCATTGTTAGTGCACCTTCACTGATATTCCTCTAAGTGAATTTTGTCCCAATGAATAGTTAGAAACTATGTTCTACCTGGACATTATGGTGTGTGCCTGTAATCTCAGCCCTTGGGAGGCTGAGGTGGAGGATCATCACAAATTTGAGGCAAGCCTGGGCTACATAATGAGTAAGGTAGCCTAAACTACATAGTGATACCCTATTAAAAAAAAAGAAACCATATTCCAAAGTTGCAGAATCCCTCAATAGCTCAGCATTTAAGCATTAAATTAGTGATAAGAACATATATAAAGTTAAAGGAAGAAGACGAATGTCACACTCACCAGTTTACCTTTTCAGTATTTCAACCTCTTAATCTTTAAATGTGACATACTGCTTTGGTGAGTGAT